CTCTCACACTCACTCATACACTTATACAGAGTGAAAAAGAGCAGTAATGACAATAATAAAAGTAATAAAGGCTGGTTGTGACTTAGCAGAAGAGTTTCCTGGCACGTGTGGGAGGACCTGGCTTTAGCACCCAAAATAAAGGGGTAAAGTGTACGCTTAAATGAGCTAGAGATACCTTTCTCCCTCCTCTGTGAGTCCAGGAGTAGATAGCGTTAGACTAGAGGAGCAGTCCACCTGGGATCAGTTGCTTCTAGCACTCTGCTTCACCATCGAGGAACTCACATCTTTGGGATCCCATATGGCACTGACACCCTGTCAAATTTTGCTTTCAGTCATAGAAACTGTGTTGTTGAGGGATTGGGAAAGTAGTTCAGAGAGGTCTACAAAACTCCTGTAGCTACAAGATTCTACATTTAGAACCACATTTTTTAAATGCCCCAAAATAAGATATATGCCATATTTTATATATGCTCAGATTAGAGTAACACCCAAAAAAGGCAATATGTATGTCAGTTTTCTCCAAATATGGAAGAAAAAAAAATACGTGAAAGATTGACATGTAAAAGAGTTACGGATAGCTGGGGCCACAGACCAATTACCACAAGGCCAGCTGACAACCAGGATTAGGAGCCGCCGAGCCAGCATGGCATGCATGGAAGGGTGTGGTCTATTTTAGGAGCTCCTGCTCAGCTTGTTGGTGACCTGACTCTGCTTAGAGTTGCCACAGCTTCCAGAGCTGAAAATCTGTGCCTAAGTGTAGACCCTTCTGGTTTTAAAAATTGGCATTTACCCAAGTATCTTGAAAACTCTGTCCCAGCCAGTATTCTGTCACCCAAAGACAAGACCTTTTCCTATCTCTGGTATGGAAATGTGCCATATGCATACCACAAGAAGCAGTCAGGTGGTCACTCTGGTGGCCATGGATAGGGTAGTCTTGGAGGTTGACTTGACTCTGTGTTTCAAAATCCTCAGAGTCAGCTGGGTGGTGGTGCACGCCTATAATCCCAGTACTCAGGAGGCAGAGGAGTTTGAGGGCAGCCTGGTCTATAAAGTCTAGGACAATGAGGGCTATTAACACAGTGAAACCCTGTCTGAAAACAAACAAACAAACAAACAAAAACCTCAGAGCCACCACAGTGAGAAAGCAGTGATGTTTTGTCAGAAGCAGGTTCTGTGGTTTACTGTGCCAGTGCTATGTTGAAGGACCACCTCAGGAATGACCTCATTATAAGCTTACAGTGCAGTGAGACGTCCAGCAGGCCTATCGTCTGTCTCCAAGGTGGTCTGTGGAACAAAGCAGAGGTT